CTGTTAGACGAGTTGATTTGTCGTACATTTATTACAATACATTTTTATATTGTCAAGTATTATACTTAGGGCTTGATTGTATATGAATTAACTTACTCACTTTTATTTTAATTCAAAATTTAACTCAAGTTTAACTCAACTTCACTATCTTTAATATTATTCATATAATTAAATAATACAAACCAATCATTCTTACGCATCACATCAACTTTAATTCATTATTCATCCACTCACATAATTTTAATTACTTATAATTTACAATTATTTCCAATCATTTATCTCTTACTTTTACATCAAACCAATTTTAAACATTTTATTTTAAATACTATTTAGTACATTCTTAAAATTCAACTAACAACTAATCATATCACTTTTTTCAAAATTAACTATGGTTAACTAAAGTAACTCATTTTGAACAAACTATTTCATAAACAATCAAGTCCTTATATTGTATTTTAAAATTTAACATTTTAATTTAAAAGTATGTATATGAAAAAATATGTTTGCCTAATTGTTAGGCATATCTAACATTAGTCTTAATGAATGACCAAAGTAATTTAATAAAATCGGAATATCTAAAATTACTATCAATTTAAAATTCTATTTATCAATAGTCTTAGGGTTATGTTTGGTAAAATTAGTTGATAAGCTAGTTAATAGATGATAAGGTAGCTTATAGCTTATCAGTGACTATTTAGTTTATAGCTAATAATTTATGACTTATAACTGAAAAACTAGCTTATATGATAAAAGTGTTTGATAAATTTAGCTGATAAGCTAGCTGGGATAAAAAATTCAACTAGCTTATTTGAAAAGTTGGTTAAAGAAGCTTATCAAATAAGCTCGAACTTTTTAGAAAAGCTCGTTATACCAAACGAGACTTATTTGAATATAATGAGCTTATAAACTAACCAAATATGTTATAAACTAGTTTATTTGTCGCCTAGATCTATCAACTTTCAAATTAAATATATATATATATATATATATATATATATATATATATATTGTCATTTAAGGATCATGAATTGAAAAGTAATCCATGTGAAAGTGATTAGTGGAGATTAATCTCATGTCGCTCAGTAAGGACATTTAATTTAATTCGTTGACCAATAAAATTTTGAAAACGAAAAGTCAAATAAAAAAATATTGAGATTTGATTTTGACTATATATAGCGTCATATTATTGTTTGCTTTACATATTATTGCTCAAATTATGAGAGATATTTTTTGAATTATATTTACTGGATATATATTTTTATACGGAATTTACAATTATACGTGTTCAAACCATTTTAGAATTCAATGATGATAAAATAGATTGTGGATTGTTTCATTGGTTGACCAAGTGGTTGTACCGTTATTTTTTTCGATTAACTAATACTTCAAAATTTAAATAAATATATATAACATTTTAACTAAAAGTTTTAATACAAAGCCATCATTATTTAAATATTTAGATAATTTCAACTAATTAAATGTATAAATTACTTGTTATAATAGTATGTACATAATCAGTATATTTAAACATGTATTTTTACTTCTATTAAATATATTTATAAAATTTAAAACAAATTTTTGGTTAAGTAAAATGAAAGACAAACAGACCATCCCGACCAATGAATTCTTAATTTTAGTCGCTTATAATAGCATCAACAATGTTTTGGAGTTAATCACAAAAAATTATATACATGTCACCTAAGAAAATAAATTCAGTTTAAAAAAATAAATTTAAATAAAAGTAAATTGAAGTCTGCTGATATGGCAGTCATGAAAGCAACCCAGTCTACATGAAATTTCAATTTGAAGGTATTTATACTTATATAATAAGGTATCCTATTTACCAAATTTAGTAGGTTGAAAAGTAAACGTAATTAATGAATTGCTATTTCTATCCATAAATTTATTTAATTATTTTATTTATTTGTCTTATATCCCATAAAATCAGTTTAAGAAAAAAAAATTCATAACATCTGATAAGTAAAAAAAAAAAAAGACATAAAATCTTTACTATAATAAAAAAGGCTTTATATATTTATCTTATTCCATATTAACATCGATTTTGTCAAAATAAATCCCAATAAATCAGTGAAATCAAAATTTGTACATAAATTCTATCTATACTAAAAAAAAAAGTAGATTCAAATTTCCTTATCTAATTCCTTATTTTTTTTATCTAATTCATTCTTATTATCTAATTGTATTGAAATCTGTTCTGATTTTGTTCAATCCTCTAATTGTATCCATAAAATCGGTTTAACAAAAAAAACCTCATAACATCTGATAAGAAAAAAAAAGTACGTAAAATCTTTACTAAAATAAAAAGGGTTTTATTTATTATCTTATTTATTATCAAATTGTATGAAAATTTGTTCTGATTTTGTTCAAACCGATTTATGTATATTCAGATTCAGATTTTCTAATAAAAACATTAACAGGAATATATATCTACTCTGCCTATTATAAAATACAAATTTCAAAATATCGAGTTATCATCTTCCTCATTGGCAACCTCATGCAAACAAAAAATATCCTCAATCAGTCTTTTATTTCAAATAATGAATCAAGAATTTGGGCTAATCAAACATGTCAATAGGCCTAATAGACCTATGCTTAAAGTTCGAATTGTGAGAATGTTTTTCCAAGACTGGGGCAACACATACAAATCATATCTCGAATTGGTTCTACATGATAAAATTGTAAGCCAAATTATTTGAATTTTTGTTTTAATTTCGAAATTTGAAACGTATATTTTAATTTTTTTTTTTATTTTCGTGAATGTATTTAGATATTTTTGTACATGTTTAGTTAAATATAGATTCGATTTTTTTTAATTATATTTTCAGATTTGCAATTTGACTTATTTATTCTACATATCGTGTATGTATTTAGATATTTATATTATTTATAATTATTTTTGTGTAATGTAAAACTTTTATTGAATATTGCATCTTATAGTATAATAATCCCTAAATAAATATATCACGTGCTTCCCACAGGTAACGTACTATATATATCCTGTACATTTTTCTTTATTCATTTATATAATTATAAGGCTGGATAAATGACCTTAAAATTTTGCACCCCACGATCTCTGTACGTACTAGTTTAACCTAAAA